GGAAAAAACCTGGGAGCTATATCCATTGCAGATGCAGTGAACTGACCTCTGGCTTGCTATCTTTGCCTACAGGGGCTGAAGAAGCTGACACAAATCTGACCTGACATTGCTGTGGATGCATATTATGCACCCACATGATTGCATCGCTGGTGAGGCCGTATAAAAAGACCAGGAAGATTATGGCAAGTAAAGATCCAGAGCTGGAAAATGGTTAAACTTGTTTGGGGGCGGGGAACTGCTGTGCCATATGAAGGCTTTTTTTCCCTGTGGGAGCTTGATTTCAGACTGCTCAGACATCCAATAGACATTGTAAACAGAACAGAAGATGCATCCACAGAGATACTTCAGAACTGGATGCCTCTACAGTTGGAATCAAGCTGCTCTGCTGGAATCAGTAGAGCTGGTGCTACAGGTGGGAAGGGGCTGAAAGAGTCAGAGGAAAGAAAAACAACCACTTTTAATCCACTATCCTCACAAAATAAAGGATAAGAACAGGTGGAAATGGTTTGGTTTACACTGAATTTCCTGCTCAGTTTATGCCTGTATTACCAAACTCTTCCTACACGAAAGAGAGGCTGAAAACCTCTTCCTCCACGACAGAGAGGCTGCACATTGGAATTAACGTGGGGCATCCATAGCTGAGGGTCAAAAGAGACGCAATAGGCTGCTTGACTGCTTACTCACAACCACTCCTCTGATCTCAGTTGCCATCTACAGCACCTCCATTAGATCCACTGGGAGAAATAAAATGTGCCTGAGAGTTGGGGGAGGGGACTTTTGGGCTAATATTAGCTTCACAAACACAGCTTATTAGATGCAGGAAATAGTATGCATGAGCGAAGGGTTATGCACCCCCTCCCACAGCACCATTTCATCACATTAGAAGTCCTACGTGGGTGCTTTCAAAAGTCTGAAGGGGGAAAAGGTAAGGTAGGCTGATCATGAATCTTCCACACCACATCCCACCCAGGACTGTCAGATATCACATTATTTGGATTAAGTCTTTACTGCCTTGGGGAGTCTCAGCTAGGTAGAAAAGCAATATAAAATGTTTTCAATAAAAATAAATAAATAATTTAAAGAGCTTCACAGTCCCTAAAACAGATAATCTGCTCCACAGACAACTCAGGTCCAGATTTTAATATTCATATTTGTTGGTCTTACAGAACAAAGAATAGAGTGGAAGCAAGATGACATTTCCTGCTCATCTGTATCATCCTGTTGCATGATAAGGAGAACTTTACTAAACAGAAGGCACAGATGAGTGTTAAAATAGTTGCCTGTAACCATTCATCCTGTGCGTGCTGGGATTGTGGTGCAAACTCAACATGATGGTACAAAAGAATGTTGAGTTATCCTCTTAACTCATCTTAGGGTTGCCAACCTCCAAGTGGGTCCTGGATCTTTCTCAGAATTACAACTGATCTCCAAATGACAGAAATCCATTCCCCTGGAGAAAATGGCTGTGATATTATGCCTCCCTGAAGTCCCTCCCACAACCCCACCCTCTCTAGGCTCCACCCCCAAATCTCCAATTCTCCCAACCCAGATGTGTCAACCATATCTTAACAACTTTTTGGTTCTGATAATCAGGGATTCTTTTAAAATGACTAAAAATGGATATTCCCTGTTTTTTCAACGCTTGTCTTGCGATTTTAATACATGTACATAAAAGTACAAAACTAAGAGAAGGTACCCTTGTTAGATGAGCAGATATAAACAGACTGTGGCATCTTAAATGCATAAGAGCCCTTAGAAATGTTCAGGAAAGTGACAGCAAATAAGGAAGCGGTCATCTCCTGCACCTAGGCTGTCTCGTGAAGAAAATATAGACAAGGCTATATTTTGCATTTTGCTGTGAACTTTGGCACCACCTTGTGGGAAATCACTGAATATGTAAAGACACCGAAATCTATAATTACAACAACTTGTTGACATCAACAAGTGGTATCATTGTGCAAAGTGATGTTTCTGTTTAAAATAAGAGTTCTGGAGGGAAAGAAAAATGTGATTACTTCAGTATTTATAAGTAATGTCAATTTAGTTGCCTTTAAATGCCTCTTTGTACTTTGTAATTAGTAAAAAAAACAAAACCTTTTGGGCTCGGCTGAGGACCAGGCAACTCTACTACCTATATAGACCTAAGCTTTTTTAGAGGATAAACTATGTTAGCCCTATGTAGAGTTTTCTACATAAGCAAACCACATTGTAAATGGAGTAGAGGCAAAACACTGTGGTATAGTAAGTACCTCTACTGCCATGACTTTTTGCACTGCAGGATTTCAAAACTTAGCACTTCTAAGGAATTAACAATCAGATGTAAAGATACCAAGAGCATGTAGACATCAGTCCCAAACTCAGGGGTCATTTCGTAGAAAAAGAGCTAGGGGAACTCATTAGCATAACTCATTAGCATATGCCACACACCCTGACATCACCAGAAGTGTGTCATAAGACCACACCCCCTGACATCACCGGAAATGTGTCATAAGACCACACACCCCGCCCCCAACGGTCCCGGCCGCCACCGCCGGCCTTGCAGCTCCACTGCCGAGCCCCATTAGGGGCCCGGCTTTGGACCTGCAAGGCCGGCGGGAGTGCAAGGAAGCCCCGTGAAGGCCCTCCCTGGCCCCAGGCAGGCAGGGGTGGGGAGAGGCAGGGAGGAAGCAACTTACCCTCCCTCTTCTCCTGACTCGTCCTGGCTGAATGAGGGCCGGAAGCGGGGCGGCCGGAAGCAGGGGGCGGGGCTTCGTCATGTGCCCCGCCCCCCATACCTCACCCGGGGGAACTGCCCAAACCTCTGCCCAAACTCAAATGCAATTATTCCATGAATACATCAGAATAATAATATATTTTTTTAAACCCTAGACAAGCTATGCTGAAGCTAGCCCTGGGAATTACAGAACTGGTCAAGTAAACACACACACACACAAAAGATCTGCATTCTGGACAAGATGCCACTGTATCACTAGCAATTTCAAAGTTTTTTTGTGTATCTGATCGTAAATTATGCATTATGCACTAGATATTTGTCTTTCTTGTGGTTTAGACTCTGTATTAAACAGTAAGTAGTTTGAAATTTGCAACATCTAAAGAAGCTCACATACATGAAAATCTTATGTTTTGATTCCACTGAGACTAGTAAGAACACTCTCTTTGTACCTGTTAGCAGCTTCACATTCGATAATGAAGTTTACCTGTGCTAGTTAACATTTGCTTATTGCTCACCGTGGTTCAGTGGCGGGGAGGAGCAAAGGGTCCAGTGCAAAACCAAATCCAGAAAACCCAGGGAAATGCCAGGGTGACCTTGAAGTCAGCATTACATGGCAATAAAACGATGCAGAAGGTCAAAACTGAACCGATGCACAAGGAGACTTGGAGCGGCATGCAATGCAGAGGGAAATTTGTGTTGTGATGTGGGATTGGTGATACAATGGCAGGAAAGACGAGTGCAGAATCACCCATTGTTCCATTCCACTGCAACTGCTCCTCTTGGGTTCATCTTTGACCCTGCTCAGCACCTGCTGACAGATGTTCAAAGGTCACTTGTCCTTTAAGTAACTTTCCTGGCAATGCCAATACAGGCTCATTGAGTTTCAGAGGACCAGTGCAGAAAGAATTTCACCAATCAACATTCGATTCAACTGTATGCCAGACGTAAGCAGCACAGTACAGCTGAGAAATGTTTTACATGAAAGACAGAACCTGTCCTTTCATGCAGTTGCTCTTCAGGCCTGATTCATCCAAGCATACCCATCTCCCTTCAGTACTACTGCAGGCATATATTGAGGCCCAATTCACACTTATGTGATTATGTTTCACCTTGCCAATCATGCAGGCTCAGCTCCACATAGACAGCTGTCTGTGGGAACTGGACCCAACACAACACAATCAGATAGTTTTTTTTGAAGCAAGATAGACATAAATCTAGCACATATTCAGTGTTTGAACTTCACCGTGTCCTACAAGGCTCCACCACAGACAGATACCACCCGCCGCAAGCTGTACAAGATACACAGCAAATATCTTTCTGTAGTTACACACAGTTCTAAAGAAGTGCCTGTTTTTGGCACTTACTCAGATTCTTCACTACCCGTTGTTATGGGAGAGTACACAAACACCTTAGAAGACCTCCAGGGATTGTTACTTATGAATAAGCTTTGAGATTTTAGCAGTTGTAAAGCTTACTCCTGGATGGGCTGGAGATTATTACTCACTGATGCAGTAGCAACCCTTTATAACGTATAACAAGTGTAACAGGCAAACACACAAAAAAGACAGACTGTAACACCAGTTTGTTGGCAAGGCAGACTATAAACCAAATACCTTTCCAACAACAGCAGATACTCACTTCAAACATACACAGTCAGTATGTGATCATTTGGGGAAAGTGGAAGCTCCTAAAAATTGTGGTGGTGGTGGTAGGAAGTGCCGTCAAGTCGCAGCTGACCTGTGGTGATCCTATGGGGTATTCAAGGCAAGAGACACTCAGAGGTGGTTTGCCATTGCCTGACTCTGTGTAACGACCCTGGACTTCTTTGGTGTTCTCCCATCTCAATACTAGCCAATACTTGCTTAGCTTCCAAGATCGGACTAGCCTGGGCCATCTGGGTCAGGGCCCTAAAAATAGTGCATGAAACCAAACTAGTGTTTTACAAGGGAATTTCTGTTGGGCCGAGGGGGATGAGTATACTAGACAAAACTGCAAGACAAATTGATGGAAGATAGGTCTGCTATTATCCATAACTGCTACATGAAACCTCCATGTTCAGAGACAGTGTAATAGAGGAAGACTTTGTCTTCGTAGGGGCACTGTTGGCTACTGTGGGAGACAGAATGATGGACTAGATGAACCTTTGGTCTGACCCAACAGAGCTTTTCTTTTCCTAGACTTATTTACACCAATTGTCTTTGGTCTTTGAATATAGTAGAGCCTTCATTAATGAGTCAGACTAAATAAAGCCTAAATTGTAGTATTCGGTGTTTATGTTTGTATTTAGCTTATTTAATTGATACATGAAATGTTTTAATTTCTTACATGTTTAAAACTTTTTTTAACAAACATTACTTTGTGTAGTTCTGATGACACTATTGCATTAAGTAAAGGAATAGGTAAGTCATTAAGGTCATCAAATATTAAGAACTCAGTATTTTGTGAAGTATGACTCAGCTTTACATACAAAGCATTGGAGACTTTTATACACAAACAAACGTTTAATAATTTAAATTTCCAATTCTTCCATATTAGGAATATTTTAAAGTTTGCCTTCGTTCCACTCCTTGAACACCTGGTGTCCCCAAATCACTTACTTGATAAAAAAGATAGCCCCCTGTGGGGTGGTGTCCATCTCCCAGCCCTTAGGCATCTCTGAAAAGACAGAGGCAAAAGCAGACTTCAGAGAACTCTTTGATTCAGACTGTGACATTAAAGGTGTTATATGGTTTTCAAACAAACATCATTCAAGAAGGTCACCAGTGATTATTCCTTGAAGACCTTCCATGGTATACATATACAAAACTGCCTTACACAGATCCAGCCTTTGGGGTCTGCTAAGTCTAGCTGCTGTCTGTTCTGACTGGCCATGGCTCTCCATGGACTCGGAGAAGGAGAGAGAAACCTTTCATAGCCCTGCAACCTGGAGATGCTAGGACTGAAGCTGGGTTCTTATAAATGTGATACACCTCTGAACCATGGTACCTATATACATGCATTGTAATCCCAGGGTGACACCAGTTAAAACTAAATGGGACTACATATTAGGCATGCATGCAAAAAGCACACATTCTTTTGCTTTAAAAAAGGTGGTTGTTCTATACTGACAACCCAGTACTTACATAAAAATTATCACAACAGAAACTAGTTACTGACAACCCAGTACTTACATAAAAATAATCACAACAGAAACTCTGAAAATTGTACTAGTTTTGCATTTATTTAGACTTTTCCCCCTTTAAATGGACTGAAGGGCTCAAATTTGGATATTGCCAATTCCTGCCACCCCACCCCCACCCCAGTAAATTCCTCCCCATGAAATCTGAAATAGTGCTCCTGCACTTAACCCATATTGGCTTGGACCTGTAAAATAACTGTAGAATACCTAGCTTCTGCTATAAAAGCAAGAGAAATGCCCTTAAATGTAAATTCCATTTTATAGTGTAATGCACCAGTTTGGTGTAGTGGTTAAGTGCGCAGTCTCTAATCTGGGAGAACCGGGTTTGATTCCCCACTCCTCCACTTGCACCTGCTGGATGACCTTGGGCAAGCCATAGTTCTGGCACAGCTGTTCCTGAGAAACAACAGTTTCTGTCAGAGCTCTCTCAGCCCCACCTACCTCGCAGGGTGTCTCTTGTGGGGAGGGGAAGGGAAAGGAGTTTGTAAGTCGCTCTGAGACTCCTTTGGGTAGTGAAGGGCAGGGTATAAATCCAATCTCTTCTTCTTCTTCTTCTCCCATCTCACTGTCCACAAATTCTGCAGGCTACATTCAAGAAGGAAAGTAGCCATAGAGGAACCCTGAGGAGTTTGGGAGTGAGATTGTCAATGAAGAGGAGCCCAAGGTTTCACTCTTCTTCTCTGACAGCTCTTCTGCGTCCCAATTACCAACCTGATTATCAGCTCTGTGGAATGTCACATTTCAGGAAATTTCACCTGAAACTGAACCATCTTAGCATTCTCCACTCCCAAATCACACACTGTAGTTTGACATACAAAAACCTATTGCCAGTTTTCCCCCTTACTCAGTTTGCTTCACTGAGCAATGCAATATGCTGTTTGGCATAAGGCTCATTCACACAACAGTTCAGCTGGCACTCGATGTTCATGCAAAGTACATCCAGGTCTGCAGTTTATTCTAGACAGACTACAGCTGCAATCCTAAGGACACTTGCTTGGGAGGAAGCCCCACTGATTAACATGGGACTTACTTCTAACTAGACCTATTTAGGATTGCTCAAAAGGGTTTATTCCCATCCATATGGCCCATCTTGGCTATAATGGGTTGTGGGTGGGTTGTGTAAACATAGCAATTTCTTCTACACAGGTGTTCACATTTGTCTTTTTTGTTAGATGTTTCCTGGACTTTCAGCTTTGTGCTTATATCCCCAAATGCAAGATGCTGCCGTGTGAATGCATATCATAGTCAGGTAGTATGAAAAGAAGCTGGCTGCTTACAATGAGAGCACTCTGGGCTTCCAAAATCTGCACGCTTATAAAGCTCTTGTAAAACTAACTTGTAAAACTGATGGAAAGCACCGTTTCTTTTCATCATTCATAACTAGTGGCTTCTACATCTCAGTTTGTGCACAAACAAGAACTCCACCCTTCAAGCTTCCTTCTGATCTCCTCAGTTGTGCTCAGTGTACCCTAATGTTTGGCTCCAGATATTGCAAAAGAGTTTGAAAGGTTTTTCCATGGAGGATATTCCAGAGGTCATGAAAACACTTTTAGTCATTTGGAGGTAGATTACTAGCAATGACAGGCTTACGAGGTCACGTTTTCTCCTTACCTGACCAGGTGAAGTGCCCACTTTGGATGGAACAGCCGCTACTTGGGTGTGTCCAGCAGGTAGATTTTGTCTCATCACTGCAAGGGCCAAGGCATAAACACAATACACCAAAGAGATTCAAAACCTCCTATCATTTTCTAGATACATAAACATACAAGCCAGGGGGTCAAGAACAGAGTCATCCTCACCATCATCTGAAGGCGGAGTTTAGCCTATAGGACACCATTCTTATGAGAGTATACTTAAAACTGACTTTGTTGTTGTTAACAAAATAGGAATCAGGATTATGTTGTCTTATGGGGATGGCCAACAGTTTAGTGGCTGTGCAGCATCTAGACCCCCTCACTCTAAGCTCTCAGACAATGGGTATGCCACAGACTGACTGTTAGTGCTGAATAGTGGAAGGGGACCAGCATCAGTCAAGTAAACTACAATCTCCTTGAAGACAGGATAAAAAATATTATTAATAGTACTCCTGTACATTTTTATTATGTTTTAGAATATTAAAAACACTCTACATGTAGTAAGCTTTACAACAAACTTGATTGGTAGGTCACTATTATCCTCATAAAAGAGTTGGGAGGGAGCAGAAGCCGAGATTGAGCTCTTTGCCTAACCACAACACAGCCAAGGTTTGAACTGGGGGTTTCCTGGTCCATAGCTTAACTATTGTAGCACCAGCTAGCGGATTCTGTGCAGAAGAGAACCAGTGTCAAACCAAAACTAGATTCCAGACAATGTAACCCTGCAAAGGCTGCATGTCTGAACACAGCAACTGAATCCAGAACCTAGAAGCAAGAGCTCATGAAGGAACATTAGGCTGCAAATGTAACTTCTGACAATGGCCAAAGACCCACAATAACCTTAGGGGTTTTTTTGTAGCACACTTAATCTTAATGACACTCCTGGGGAGTGTAATTGTTCTTTCTCATTTTCTTCACATCACTCCCCCCACCATCAGGACCTGGCCTAGTTGCACAGGCACCATCTGTCACAAAACACACAGGAGATATTTAATCTTGGCAAGTATCCCCAGCTTCAGACACCCACCAACCGCAGCCTTGAACCTAGGAACAAGACAACTAAATAGAGCAAGAATTTAACATACTTGACAAAGAAGATTCTCCCATCGCTGCAAACTCCATATGTCCATCTGCCAGGAAGATCAAGCCAATCAACGTCCTCGGTGGCCATCCAGCTTGTTCCGCTGTAAATTCCACCAAAAGGGGGAGAGGAATCCAGACGGATCAAGGAGCACTGCTACCCGCCCCCTTTCTTAGCCTATTTGCCTGCACTCCCTACTTTATGTCAGGGAGCACTGAATTAATGTTAGAGCCACCTGAGCCAGTTCCACCAGGACAGGGGCAGCTCAGCCTTCTGCAGAAACTCTGTTTTGCTGCAAATAGTCCAAGAGGGGGAGAAAACAGCATCTGCTTCACCCTTTCAAGGCCCAGCTGCTGCTGCTTCGCCCAAAAGCTGAAGCAGCACAAGGGTCCTTCCAGCATCAATGACAGACATCCTAAACTGCATGACTCCAGAGAAGGCAGCTTCCTTCTTCCACTCTGTCTAATTACCACAAATTAACTGGGGGTTTGGGGTGAGAGAGTTTTGGCTCCTTTCTCTATGCTAACTGAACCTGATGTGTCTGCTCTTCTCCGTTCCAGAGCAAGAGGCATTTTCTGTCTCACCCTAGCCATCAATTAAAGCTTATTCACCAGGGAAGGCAGGGTTTGAGAACTCTCCCATGGGAGGGGGCACATAAATGACTCCACATCATCAGACACATACTTTTGAACTCTGTCATCACAAGGAAAGGGAAATGACAACTTTACAGTTCATCCAGAAATAAGAAAGAGCAAGGTGTGACCCAGCATGACAACTTCTACAGTTCACAGGAGCTGGCTTTGGTGAGGGAAACTGGTTTGTCCAAAGCTACAGATATGTCTTCCATGCAGTGTTTCCTATAAGCTGCACTAGGGGGTGCTGGTGCACAAAATTTTAGCTGGCTCTCGGGGATTTTAGCTTCTAGCTCACAAGCATTTTCCCCTCCATTGGAAACAATGGAAGATGGGGGCACCTCCTTCTGGGGCCCATAGAATTTGACCCCCTGGTCTAATCTTTTTGAAACTTTTTGGGGGGGTTAGGAAAGGCACCAGTAGCTATGCTGCAAATTTGGTGCCTCCACCTAAAAAAACAGCTTCCCTCCAGAGCCCCAGATACTCCTGGATCAATTCTCCATTATAGCCTATGGGGCCCATAGCCTATAATGGAGAAGGGGTGTTTTTTTTTTGTACACCCCTATTATGCTTTTCAGTATGATTTGTAAGCTGCCTTGAGTCACAGTAAAAGTGGGATATAAATATTTGAATAAGTAGTTTGAGCAGGTTGATAACATTTAAGCAACTTTCTGTTTTTTTGGTTAGGCAGGGTTCTGACAATGATTGTTCCCCCTCTGTTATGCTTGACCTGTAAATTTCTCATATTTCACTAAAAAAAACAAACCCAAAGTGGACTGCAAGTGTCTCCCCCCACCCCCACCCCCCGCTGGTATGTTTGCTAAGGCTCAGTGCAGGGCGACGGTCCAAGGCCAGGTCTACTAATATAGTGGACTGGGGTGGGCAGACCTGTTCTCCAAAGGCTAGGTCTACCAATATAGTGGAAAGGGGAGTGTAGGCCTGTTCTCTAGAGGCCTGGTCTAGCCCCATAGAGGATAATGTTTTCTGTAATGAAATTTGACTTTATTCTGTTTTCTCTTATAATGTTTAAATTATTATTAAAATGTAGTTTAAATATAGTTTAAAAGAATTCATTCTGAGATTTCTCAAGGTTATGGAAATAATCTTCTAAAAAAACCTAACTTATGCGATAGTCAAATGTAGACTTCCTCACAACCTTAATGCTACTAGTTTCTTTTGCTCACAAGGTAGAATTCTTGCTTACAATACTGTGGAACTTAGAGGGACCATTCCAAGCACTATGTGGCAAACATATGCAATGAAATACAGCACAGAGGATAGATGGAAGTAGGGACCTTGTTTATCACTCAGTATTTATTGTGATATCTGCATATTGGTCTAGATTTGAGAGTAGGTCAGGTGACCAACAAAACAGCTTAGTCATCACAAGATTACAAACTATGACTTTGCATTGCTAAGTGTGAACACTTACCTATGTGCAACTTTACTGACATCAAGGTGGAGATCTACCCTTAGGACAAGTTTCAATGGAACTACCTACAGTGTGCACATTTAGTGCTGGAAGGGATCTTAGCTAAGCTTATGTCTCTTCTCATGTAATACTTCAAACTACCCAAAAGTGAGCATTTGTCTAGGTAGATGACAAGAACTGCTCTGTGACTTTTTCTTATGCATACCATTAGGGTTACAAAGAGACTCAGAAGCGGGAAAAAAGTCTGTTCTTTTAATAGAGGCTGAATGTGTGAAAATGGTCAGCTGAAGCTTTTTATCACTTGGTAAATATTGTCCTATTAAAACTCTGTTGAAGGAACAGGACTTTTTTTTTCTCCTGGCACACTAATACCCCTCTGGAATATGGGCTCAGTGGATCACAAGTCATAACTCTGCAACCTATTAAGCACATCCTTAATCAGTGGCAAGGTTTACATACTTTTAAATGCTCATACAGGTCCCTCACTCTATCAGTAACCATCTTAGATGTTCAGAGCTTTCCTATATAATGCTATGTTGACAACAGTACTTTAGCACAAATTTGCATAATATGCCCAAGCAAATTTTGTAATCTGATTTTGTAATGTATTCAATAGCTGCCATTGAGTGCATGGCTGTATGTGAACAATTGAAATGCTATGTTAAGCTTCGTCCTGGGCTAGGATCCAAATACATCCAATCACATTGCTAGCCCAGGAAGAACCTAACCAATCACTTCTCAGCAAGCTCCCTGAGCGGGAACGTCCGTGATTGGTCCTTATGCATACAACCTTATTGGTTAGTAATTGTACAGTAGGCGTAGCTACATTAGCCGGGAGAGTTTAAAAGCAGGACAGCTGCAATGTAAAAGCTGTTCTGGCTATCAGATGTTAATCCGTGTTGGAGTTGTGTTTGAGTTGTGGAATAAAGCTGAATCTTTGCTGAATCACTCTCCGACTACTTTGTTAAACGAGCAAGCCAGTCAGATTCAAGCATGTGAAAAACAGCAGAAGTCCCATGTACAGTCTGGCCCATGCACAGCTTGGTTTGTTCAATGACAGAATGCTGATCTCTGCCACAAACTTCGTATCAAATTCTGGCTATCTGTACAATATTTTTATATCTTAAATACAATAGAGAAGTTGGCCAATCAATACTTAAATCCAGTGACTGAAGCTGTGAACAGGCAAGACAGATCTTTCTACAAACTTGAATAGGGCCCCAGGTTTGCAGAAAAATCTGAAATATACCCCCCCCAAAATATTGGGGGCTTTAAAAAAAATGATAAAAGGAGTGCCTGTAGCTTTAAGCAAGAGATTCCCTCAGTAGCTGTTGCTGGGATCAGTATTCTAGGCTGGGTTTTGTCAGTAAAAGACAGGGGAACAAGGCGGGGCCATTTCTAGGCCTGTTTTGGCTTTAGAGGAAGAAGGACACATTAGGGTCAGGCTTGACTAGGATTGCCCGCTCCAGATTGGGAAATTCCCGGAGATTTTGTGGTGGAGTCTGAGGAGAGCAGGGTTTGGGGAGGGGAGAAACCTCAGCTGGATACAAAGCTAGAGTCAATCTTCCAAACCAACCATTTTCTCCAGGAGGAGGAGGAGGAGGAGATTGGATTTATACCCCGCCCTTCATTACCTAAAAGAGTCTCAGAGCAGTTTACAATCTCATTTACCTTCCCCTCCCCACAACAGGCACCCTGTGAGGTAGGTGGGGCTGAGAGAGCTCTTTGAGAACTGCTCGTGAGAGAACAGCTCTGAAAGAAGTTATGACTGACCCAAGGTCACATCAGCAGCTGCATGTGGAGGAGTGGGGAATCAAACCCAGTTCTTCCAGATTAGAGTCCATGCTTCTAACCACTACACCAAACTGATCTCTGTTGTCTGGAGTTCAGTTGTAATTCTGGGAGATTATCAGGTGCCACCAGGAGGCAACACTAGGCCTGGCAGCAACCTCTGGGTGACTTGATACCATCTGACTTGATGACTCAACTAGGCCTGGCCACTTGCTACTGTTCAACAGCAACTACCGTTTGAGACCTAGTGTGGTATAGTGGTTAGAGCTTCAGAGTAGCATCCGGGAGATTCAGTTTTGAATCCCCATCTTGCTGTGGAAGCTCAGTGGATGATTTTGGACCAGTCATATACTTTCAAGACTAACCTACACCACTGGGTTGTTGTGTGGGTGAAAAAGGAGAGAATAATGTAAGTTGTTTTGGTCCCCACTGTGTAAAGACTGTAGTTTTCCTTGGTAGAGTCTGCAGGGCAAAAGGAGATGGAAAGCTGAAAACAGTGGGGCAGATAATAGCAGGTTGGCTGTTGGGTGGGAAGGAGATAGGGTTGCCAACTCCAGGTTGGGAAATTCCTGGAGATTTAAAGGGTGGGACCTCAGACAGATATAATGTCATAGACTCCACCCTCCAAAGCAGCCATTTCCTCCAGAGAAACCAACAGTGTTAACCTCCAAGTGGGGGGGCTGGAGATCACCTAGAATTACAACTGATCTCCAGACAACAGAGATCAGTTCCCCTGGAGAAAATGGCTGCTTTGGAGGGTGGACTCTATGGCATGATGCCCTGCTAAGCTTGCTTCCCTCCCCAGACATCACCCTCCCAAGCTTCCACCCCCAAATCTCCAGGAACTTCCCAACCTGGAGCTGGCAACCCTAAGGGGAACTGATCACTGTATTTGGGAGATCTCTTGTGATTCCTGGAGAGCTGCCACCACCACTGCTTCTGTGTGGGCTGGGGAGGAAGCAGGTAGGCAGCTTGGAGAGTGATGAGTGGGGGATAGAAAGAAAGTGATGGGGTGGGGGCAGAGAGAGAGAGAGAGGAAGTGACAGGCATGGAGGAGAGAGTAAGAAAAAAGGTGGCAGGAGGGAGGAAAGAGGGGGAGATGGGAGGAAGCAAAGGTGTGGGAGACAGACCCTCCTGCAAGTTTCTTGCAGGTCCTCACTTGTTTTTTTTCTAATAACCAAGTTGTCTTAGACTACAAGTTGTCTTAGTCAACTTAGACTACAGGGTACCAAATTTTAAGACATGAGGCCATGTGGATATAGTAATTCCAATTCACCAACAAGTCACACTGTAATCCTAACTAGAGATATACCCTTCTAAATCCA